TTTTTTTTTTTTTTTTTTTAATAAAATAAAAAATATAATAGTCCAATGAAATTGAAACACTGCTATTTTTCAGCACTGGATAACTTTTTTTGCTAACAAATGCTACAATTTAAATTTCAGAAATACAGACTAACAATCTCTAAAACAATATATTTGTAAAAATATTACCTAATTAAAACATTAAAGCATAACAGTAGTATTTGAAAAATAAACTACTACGCGCCAATGTTAACATTTTCAAGCATGTTAATTTTTTGGGCTGCCACAGCCGCATGTGTAACTGACAGTGTTGGGTAAGTCGTTTTACTGGCCTTATAATTTTAGCGTCTGTTGTTGCGTGCAATGCGAAATAGTAATTAGGATTTTAGTAATGTCGAATTCAGAGGAATGTTATCCAGATTTAGAGACGTGGTGCCGCCTTTGCCTAAATGAGCTTAAGGATCCGCACACAATATTTGCGGAGGACGACACACAGCCTTCAATTCCGATGCGCTTAATGGCGTGCCTCTCTTTGGAGGCAAAATCAACCGACGGATTGCCGAAAAAGATCTGCGGAGATTGCCGTTACCAGTTGGAGAAGTCGTTTCTCTTCCGGCAACGCAGCCAAGCGGCTGATAAGAAGCTCCGCAAGCACATCCGCTTGGTCAGTATGGGTAAAAAGAGTCGCGTCTTTGCCAAATCAGCGGATAACGAATCCGATGAAGATGAGCTGGAGTTCGAAGAGTCGATGGCATTTATCGAAAAACTGGAAATGCGGTACGAGAAAAACTCTCAAAAATGGCAGGAAAAGGTAAAGCTGGAAATGGAAAAGGATTTTGAAAGTCGCCTTGATTCCGCGCGCGAAGACTTTTGCAATGAAATGCGCAAGCAACTGGCGGACGAAGTGCGAAATGACGTGCGTCAGCAGCTGCGCGATGAAGTGCAAGAGGAGAGCCGCAAGGAGCAGCTCGTCAAGCTGCTGGGTGAGCTCGAGGTCTTCTTGGCTGAGAAGAAAGCCGGTCTCTGGGAAACATTGGGCGAGCTGCCAGTGGACTTGAAGCCAAAGAACGACGAATCGGCCGTGGAATCAACACCAACACCAGCCCCCATATCTCTGCCAGCATCGCAGACAAGCATTGATCAGCGTGTGACCAGAAAACGTGGCCGCATCTCATCGCCCGCACTTCAACAGAAGAAGCGCCGCCCCAAAGTATCCGATTCTGAAAGTGCTGAGTTTATGATTGAAGCCGAATCCAAGGTTGAGGTAGTACCCACGGACGATGCGGACATGGATGCATCTGTCCCAGATGCCAGTGAGGATTTTCGTGATATAAAGATGGTCGGCGCTGGAGATGTGGTGACAAGCCAAAATGGTGAAATCTATATTATAAATGCCGCCTCGACGACAAACTCGACGCCCAGCTCCTCCACAGAATTTCAGCAGGAGAAGAATATCACATCATATAATAGTAAACACCCGCCTAATAATCCAATTAACAGTTTTACTAACGCTCATTTGCTTTCCCTTGCAGTTAAGGACAATGGAGAGATTCAGTTTACGGACGCCAAGTCTGACGAAATCGGGGACGTAATGGTCTTCAATCTCGATGATGGCGGAGGCGACGATCAGCAGTTGTATGAGTTCAACGACAATGTCATTATATTGGTGAGTACCAACTTGAGTACTACCACTACTACTAATTGAAGATAACCGAAATCATTTCTATTACAGTCGAACGAAAAGGTAAGCAGTGATGTGACGACGCCGCCTACAAGATCAAAACGTGACTTAGTGGTGAAGCGGGCGCCACGCAGCTCGAAGCCAACTGTGGGCCGCGTCAGCGATACGCTGAAAACGTTCCAGTGCCAGCTGTGCCCCATTTCGTTTGCCACGGAGAAGACATTGTCGCGCCACCTGAGCACGCACATCAAGACGCTGAAGAACGGCACAGGCGGCGCACTCAAGTGTCCCGTTTGCCAACTGCAGCTGTCCTGCGCCAGTTCGCTGAAGCGTCACATGATCATTCACACCGGACTAAAGCCATACAAATGCGAGGAGTGCGAGTTGTCGTTTTCGCAGCGCGAGGTGCTTAAGCGGCACATGGACACCCACACGGGCGAGAAGCGGCATCAATGCCCCCACTGCGAGACCTGCTTCGCCCAGAAGACCAATCTGCAGCAGCACATCAACCGCATGCACCTGGATGGGGAGCGCCAGCACAAGTGCCATCTGTGCAAGCGCAGCTTCAATCATGTCTCGGGCCTGAGTCGCCACCTGGTCGCGCACGCAGGCGTCACGTTTGCATGCAAGGAGTGCGGCCGTCAGTTCAACGATCGCAGCGCCGTGCAGCGACACATTCAGAACGTGCACAAGGTCAAGGACACGGGCGGCGATTGCGCAACGGACGGCAATGGAAATGAAACGGAATTTGAATAATCTTCTAATTGTATTTGAGCACTCTCTTAATTAATTAAGTTTTTATCCCGACAATCCCATTAGCATAATTAAAAGTATTTTCTGTGTGTAGATTTTAAACATTTTACTCAGTTTTATTCGAAATTTTCCAAGTGCTCAATTTTAACTTTGGCACCAAGCAAGCACATTTTTTGCATCTTTCTTGGTTTGGAACAGTGGAAGAAATGTATGCGAAAAATAAATGTTTAGCACGTAACACGCAAATTCTTATTATTAACAATTACAAATTTTAAACATTTGCYAACAGCTTCAATGTGTTACGTAATAATTGGATAAGATAGCTAGCTACATAGATTTAGTATAATACAATAATAATATCGTTTAATATAATACACATAAYATACATGTACAATTCGCAAATGCGTGTACATATATAAATATATATAGTTATATTTATATATGTATATATAATTAAACATTTGTAAACAATAAACATTTATATAAATACGGATTACACGCGACGTGCACTTAACTATCGACCTAAGCTAATAAATTTAACGTCAACAAAGCATCAAACCAATACGCAACTCACATGCCATGCAATGCAATGAATCAGATCAGAGTCGAGAGCGCCTTTAAATGAGATTGCTTATTAAATCCGTTTCGAGTTGGCGGTGCCCCAGAGAATGCCAGCACACAAATATGAAGAACGTTTTGCAGTTTAGCATAGCAGGAGTTGGCAACAAGCTAAATACGTTATGGGCAACTAAGCATTGGAATATCTACTGCGCGACGGGTAACTCGTCGGCTGGGCCAAGGTGGCCTACTGCCACTGCTAGTCAGAGTTGGTTAGAGAGCTGCGCTGTGATTCTAGGGTATTCGAATCGTTGCGCTGGCGCAGCATGCGCGGCTGACTGGCAGCAAAGTTGGAGAAGTCCTTCATCACATCCTTGTACGTTTCATCCTCGCCGTTATACTCGTCGTTCAGACCGATTTCGTCATTTAGGCGAGTCAGGCGCAGACTGAAACGAAATAAATTACATTAGCAGGACATCCAAATGCGGCACAATGAATTCTCAACTTACAGCGTCACGATGTCCGCATTCTTCTGTTCAACGGCGATATCCAGTGCCTTTTTGCCATCACTGGAGGCCAGATCGTAGGCGGCCTTGTGCTTCAGCAGTAAATACACCTGCGCAATGTGTCCTTTGGCCGTCGATATATGCAGAGCGCTGTAGCCCATCTCGTCGACTGCATCAATGGCAGCTCCATTAAGCAGCAGATACTCGCAGGCCATCACAGAGCCAGACAGCACAGCCTGGTGCAAAAAGGAGCGCTGTCGATCCTCTGCATTCTTCCAGTGCTTGGACGCGCCCAAAGCGAAGGCCATACACATCACGGGAAGATTATGCACGGCGGCTGCTTTGTAGAGCAGCAGATTGGCATCCAATTGAGTGAAGGGTATTTCCTCTGGCATCTCTGTGTCGGATTCGCCTTCAGTGCTCTCCTGGTCGCTGCCCAAAATGCCGGGAGTTTCGTACCTGTCCAATGCCAAGTCATCGCCAATTACTAACAAATCATCCCGCGATATGCTCAACGACATTGATGGAATGTTTATTGACTCGTCATCATCATCGTCCAGTTCGTCTCCAGTTTTTGCTGTGTTGTATATGCTAGGATCATCGCTAAATGTCTTGGTCAACGGCCTCTGCTGGCGTCGCCGCCGCAACTTCTTCACCGTCCACTTGCGTGTGCCACCCAGGGAGAGAGTCGCCCGCTTACCAGTAACTCCTCCACCAATGCTTCTTCCAGCTTCGACACCGCCATCGTCGGCTGCTTCGCCGCTTTCTATGCTTAGCACCTCGGCAGTTTCGCTAGCCATTAGATCCTGTGGCTTCGGCATGCCGCACACAAAACGCCGCTCTACATACTTTGCCTTGATCCAGGCCTCGCGCACTCCTATCTCACATTGCTCCGTGGGCTTCCTTAGCTCACAGTCTTCGGGGATGCGCGCCTCATAGATACGATTGACGACCTCGTTGCCCAATTCCATCATCACCTTGACATTCTCCGTTTCCCATGCGTCTAGGGTCAGGGAGCGCACCTTGCTATAATGCACGCCAAGGCTGCGATGCACTCCGGAGCACTCGATGCAGAGTGTTATGCCCAAGTTGATGGATGCCCAGCGCGGATTTGAGCCGCGACAGTCACAGCACTGTGCATTTCCCGGTATTTTTAGAAACTCCTCCCAGTGTCTAAGCATGACTCATTAAAGAACTGTTATCAATACTTAGATTACTTCACACTTACATTCTTCGCTTCGCAGGCAACGCGTTCGGGGCATTCGTTGACTGCGGGCGTGAGTGATGCGTGGACGCATGCTGGATGGCCGCGCCAATGCTATGCTGCAGAGCCGAGATCCACAACGAGAGCATGTCCGCGGAGTCCGCTTGGAGTGTGTGAGATCTGTGTGAAATTTATGGTTATTATATAACCAACCCTGGGTGGAGCTGTACTCACTTGGTTGGCGAGATGACCTCGAAGCAGAAGCGGCGATCACCTTCATTGACCGGCCGCACGGTACAGATGCGCAGATCCTCCTCCATGACCGAAAACGAGTCCTCGTTGCTGCGTTTTCTGGAATGCGAATCCAAATCACTTCAGCGTACAGCACAACAAATCACAATCACAAGCACAACAACAACAGAACAAGGGAAATGAGATTACGAGTACAAAATGGCAAACAAATGAAGACGATTCAACCGGCAAGCAAAACGAATGGGAAAAATCAAAAGAAATGAGCAAGGCTGGAGCATATAGATATTGCACGCACCTATAGACCAGCTGATTGTCGCTGAGGTAGAACCAGCGTCTACACCAGGTCTTGAATCCCTTCGATTTCTTCTTAAACAGATAACCCTCGACATTGTGCGAGGAGCTGTTCGTATTCGAATCGCAATACCGATTCACGCTCATGTGTCGATTCTGCATGACCTTCTCCAGCTGCTGATAGTCGCCGCGGAGCGCGTTCAAATCCTCGCTGATATTCTTGAAGAACTCGTCAAAGTCGTTGCACAAATCGAAGCCCTGATGGTAGTAGGTCACGCACGCCTGATAATAGTCCAGCAACTGTCAAAGAAAATATACGACGATCAGCAAAAAACACGTTCGACAATTGCTCTTATTTATGAATAGAATGAATACACATGCTGCCCCATATTGGAGACGTTCAGCGAACCTTCAACGAGGGCACTTCACAACCGACTAAAACTGCTGCCGGGTGCCAACTGACTCAACGCTGATCAATGAGCCAGCGATATAGAGCAAAATAAATAATAAAAAAAAAAAAAATAAAATAAAATAACAGACTATATATATCCATTTGAGGTATATCGCGAACATGACGTCATAAGTACAATTGCTGTTGAAGACAATGCCATTTCATTCACAGTAAACATATCACCTTACCAAATGTCGATAAGAGTTTTAGTTATCAAATAAGTATCAAATAATGTTTTGCCAAATAATAATCTCAATAATCTTAAGTATTTACTATAGGTTGGCCTTACTTTGCGTACTTTTTGCTGATTTATTTCCTAAATCTGAATAATTTACAATTTAAGCCTCATTATTCTGTGAACTACTGCTAAGAATAGCGTAGCTTATGAAATCAATCTGTCTGATTTGTCAGCTCAATCAAAAGCTACACAAACATATGGTTACTTAATATATATTATTGAATTTATGGACTAGACTTTAACACTCACCGTCGATAGTATGGAAGGCACCTTGCGAGCCTGCACCAGCGTTATATAGTTCACGTAGTCCAGAGCCGTGTGCTGAAAGCAAGACTTGGAGGCGGAGAGTATGTTGGCTGCCTCCTGAACTTCCTGTGGTCGATTTTTGCTCGCCTGTGGATGGAGAAGAAGAGTTACTTCTTAAGATGGACACATAGAAGGCACTGCATTGGACGCACCTGTGCGTTTTTAATGAGCGCATTGTCATAGCCCTCCGAGACTTTCAAGAAGTGTCCTTTGTAGTCCTTGACCTGGTTAATGTCGTCCTTGACAAACACATTGAGATTTTTCAGCACCGTTCGACTTGCCTGATCTAACAGTATCGTGTGAAACTTATTCATTTCCTGTCAAAATATACAGCAAAAAAACGCCACCAGATAAATATAAAAGTCTTTCGCGTAATTACCTGCAATGGGCAACGCACCTGAAAGCAATGAATCAGCTTGCCCAGCGCATTGTGCGCATTTTTATTGTCGAGAAAATGCTGCTGCAGATCCCACAGGGACATGGCAAAGGCGCTATGAGTAATAAAGAAAAAGAAAAAAATACGTAAAAATAAAATGAAGATAAGACTAGAGAGTAAGAGTGCGCAGCTTACCTCTGGTTCTTGACATACTCCTTGCCCGAGTCGACAGCCACATTGCATAGCTTGATAATTTTCTCGAGCTTCTGCTCCAAGTGCTCGATGTCCGCCTCCTCCTTCGATATGAATTGTCTGGGCCAAGAACAGAATTGCAGACGTTAGTAGAAATCTTGTTATTGTTTAATGGATGCAAACAACGACCCGGTCTCTGTCGCAAACGATTAACTTTGTCCACTTTGTGCACAGGGCGGGGGGCGTAGGTGATGGAGAAGAGGTTTACGGGCCTGCTGGCAATGACAGCTGCGGCGTAGTCGCTGCTGGCTGTTTATTTATGTTGACTTTTTTAATTTATGCCACTATATTGAAGTGCCGCATGTGCGTTTAATTAAAAAAGCAATTTTAAATGGCTTTAAGCCAGAATTGCATACGAAGGCAAAAGATGGCAAAGTCTCTTTCCATCTCCTTAGTCTGCAATAGTTGTAATTTCTTTTTGTTTGTCTGTAACCTGTTGAGTCGTTTTGGTTCATGTGAAAGCTATCGAATAAGCTAAGCTTGGGCTGGCAATTAAAAAAAATTTTCTGTGGCAATCGAGCGAAAGCTTTGTCTCTGGGCGAGATTACTGGAAACTGAGATGGGCTGGCAATTGGGAGAAATCTTATCAATGAGTGCCGAAAGGCGTCCGATCGATTGACACAATAATTAGCAACAAACAAATGAACAAACACACGCACACACACACGCACATGCATGTGTGTGCGTATGCTTCTCATCATACGGTGCACGAATGATACATTCCGAAACTCTGACGATGTTGAAGCGAAGTGCAAAGTTTTCTCGATGATGATTAAGCGTCAGCTATATTAGAGCCGTTGTTAGGGAAGGGGGAGGGGACGCTTCGAACGAAAGCTGTTGATAGCACGATATCCAAGCGGAACCAGTCACGCTACACAAAATATATAGCCAACCCACTGTCTGGGAGCCCAAATGCAAATACGAAATGCCAAGTGCGGAAATAGAATGCGCATAATGCGCACCATGTTTTGAGCGAGGGTTGGGGTGGTGGTAAGTGTGGCTTGGTGCTTTGTTATGTGACCGAAGGTGAGCCATCGCGATGGCTCAATATGTACCTGAATCTTGGCGAATCCTTTAGGCATTCCTCGAACTCAATTGTGGCGCGCATTGCTAGACACACACACGCACTCACACACGCGCACGCTACTGCAGTATTTGCACCGTTGGCTATTTACACAAATCGCGCAGCGAAATATTTGGCTTCTTTCAGCTGTTGCTTCTGCTGCTGCTGCGGCTGAAATTGATCCCCTTGATTTGAGCAGAGCAATGCTTAAATGTGGGTGGCTGAGTTGCAATGACACGCGCACATTTTTTTTAAAACAGCTGCCACACTTGGTAGATGAGTTAGTAATTAAATGAACGTTAAGGTAATTAACAAAAATTTGCCACTAAGCGACGCACACAACAACGTCGACGTCTTCGTCGTCGTTGTCTCACTTTCTACTTGCGCTTCATAAGGTGCTAAATTTGACCGAAACGCATGCATAGTGTTTCAAAACAGTTGAGTGGCTATTGAACGCTGCGCAGCACTAGCACTGCCTTTGGTTCTTCTGCTTCTTTCGCCTGGTGCTGTTTTAGTGTAATATAATTTTTCTATAAAAACTTTGTTATTATCAATGCACAAACAGTTCGCAAATTATTTAAAAGCGCCAGCTGCTAATTTCTTGAATGAAACTATGAAAGTGAATCGCTGAGTCTTTAAAAGTCGTCGTCGCCGTCGTTAATCGCCGCAGTCGTCGTTGTGTGCTTTTCACATTTGTTTACCCTTTGTCTTGTGTTCTTGTTCTACGTGTTTGCGTTCCTTGTTCACATCAAGCAACCTGCATAAATCTTCCTGACGTCACAACGCGCTGAGCACGCCCCCGCCAGGAAACGTTGACCTGGACCAATCGACCGACCGACCGACCGACCAAGTGACCAATTGGCGCAGCACAGCGGAATGTGGAAGTGCCACAAGTGCGGCAAACCCGTTTACTTTGGTAATTTAAACACCCACACATGCATGTGTTCCTATATGTACACACACATTCACAAACGGGCATACACTCGCTCACACCCACTTACACCCGCACGCTCATACATGAACAGATTATAACAGTCGTGATGTGCATGCCATTTGTTTAAATAATAAGCATTCAAATTACATATTTCGATCCAACACAGCGGAACGTAAACAATCACTGGGCTATGATTGGCATCCGGAATGTTTGCGCTGCGAAGAGTGCGGCAAGCGCCTTAATCCCGGCCAGCATGCAGAGGTATTTAATCAGTTAAGCGTTTGCTGCAGTACGTCATTAATCGCATGCATTTATTGTAATAGCATAAAGGAGTGCCTTATTGTCATGTGCCCTGCTATGGAGCGCTGTTCGGACCGCAGCTTTTTGGTCACGGCACGCGCGTTGAGTCACACAAGAGCTACGGTGTAAAAGGCGCGCAGAAACCAGTCGCCGCACAGGCTAATGGACCCGCGCTGCCCCGCGACCATTTGGAGTCCAAGCTGAAGGTATGATGCATTTATTTGTATAAAATTAGTGGAACAAGTTTTAATTGAAATTGTTAACAACTTGCAGGTTTACAATCAATTTTATGATAATAAAAGCCTTGAGATACGCAGCCGTGAAGTGAACAATCGGTTGATCTTGGAGGGGCCACTGCGTGTGTTTTGGGGCGTCCAGGGCGTTATTCATCTGAAGGAGGATGATGATCAGCGTACATTTGTAGTGCGCAAACGCAACTCCTGCCGTGCATCCAAGGCACAAGATGTAAGTTTATATACTTGACATGGGTTTCCCATTAATTTATTGACCCTTTTTGTCAAGCAGGAAAGTTGCTCGGACAAGGAAAACGAAGGCAGCGAATCGGTGGCACCTCCCACGACTACCGCTAGTGAGGTTGATCCACTCTCCACGGACATTTCATTGTCGGAGAGCATGACTTTTGATTCATGTAGTTTGAATGAGATATCGGAGCTGCCAACAACACCAGAAGATGCCTCCGCAAATACAACACCGGGCAGTGAACAGGTTGTAAACGGACAGTCGTGCTCCAACAATGATGACGAGGATGTAACGAACACTGATTCCTCGAGCACGTTAATCGGCAGCGCCACGGACGCTATTACGGCCAGCACTAGCTGCGTATCCAGCACGTTGCCCTCCAAGTTGGACAACCTGGAGAAACTGGACTGGGATGATATTGATGACTTGCTGCAAGTGGAGCGACGTCAAAGTGAGAAGGACAAGGTCTATGAAACGATGCCCGTCAAGCTGCCGTCTTCATCGTCGCAATCGTCCAGCGAGAGCTCGCCCAGTAAGACGTGCTCCTCCAGCACAACATCGACAAACACGCAAAACAATCAAATCAATACTGCCTCATCTCCTACAACAACCACAAACACCACAACGAGCAGCAGCTCAGATAACTTTATGACTGCCACAGGCTCTTTGACGACAAATACCAATACCCAGAACACGAGCACTGTAAGCACTAGCAACACCACGCTGGATGACTACAAGACGTCGGATGATGCAACGCTGAAGCCCATGGACTATGAGGATTTTAAGCGTAGCGTTCATCAGGATTATGTGAATGGCGCCAACTCGTTTCAGGAGCCAAATGACGACACACTGAAACGCAATCAGCCTATCGATCCCTCGCGGATACACGACTCCCTGAAGCTCTACGGCGAGAATTCGGCTATGAGCAAGAGTTTCAATTGCGAGCACGCGCTCCGCTCCATTGATCCCACACTTATAAACGACACAATGCATTTGCGCAGCAGCGTTGACTCTCCTCGCTCATCGCAGCGTCAGTACGCCTTGCAGAAGAGTGGCTCGGCCTTTGCGTCTATAGCGCCCAGCCGGGAGCACCATAAGTCCTATGAGCAGGGCCGTCAGCTTTTCGAAAAGGGCATCAATCGCTCCAAGTCTGGTCCCAGCTGCTTTGTATATTCCGACAGTGACGATGATGATGATACAACGCTGCGCCCACATCGTTTGGCGACAGTGCGACGCAGTGATGTGCCTCAACGTTATATACAAATCCAAATGAATTGCTATCCCAAAGAAGGTGCAATTGAAAATGAATCGAGTCGTGCCGATGCATCATCGGTAATATATTTAACTTAATTTAGTAGACACACTTAGGATGTGGGAAGATGGAATGAATGAGAAGATAAGGCCTATAAGAACGATTTGTTTATCCAATTGTATCGCTCCGAGTCTTCAGCGCTATAATTTGTTTAAATATTTCATTTAGGCTCTCCAAGTCGCAAGTTCCTTGAGCAGTTGACTAGCAAAAATTTATGCCCAGATTGCAATGTATTCTGATTGCAATTGTAGAAGCGTCTTACAGCGATTCTTATCTTACGTCTCTTGCATGTGTGCGTACATATTAAATAGTAAAAGGCAAAGTGGGGTACGAATAAGTGCCTGCTATCTTAAGTTTATTTTAATTTATCGTTATTTATTTGAATAATGCTTATCTCATTTGCTTAGGTGTTAAGCGGTGCTGTGGCTGGCGACGAGCTGACTCAAACGGATGAGCTCTACACGGCCACTGAGGGCAGAGAAAGTGCCGCGGATGGCATTGGAACTAATGAAGCGGGCTTGCACGTGAATGAAGATGGCGTTGTCTTGAGAAGACCCCCGCGCACTGGCGCTGCTGCCATCAAACGTCGCAGTGGCAATCGACGGTTAGTCAAGTCATTGGGTTTATGCCGCTCATTTGTATAATGGAATTAATATTTGCAGTTCGCGCACGAAGCTGAAACGTCGGTGTTCAATCAATGGGCATTTTTACAATCGGGAAACATCGTTTTTCACGCCACCATACGGCTCCCAAATGTCCGTATGGGTCACTTCGCTGGTGACCACTCAGGAGGTCATCAATTTGGTGCTGGAGAAGTATAAGGTGGATAGCGCCGCGGAGAATTTCTCGCTTTTCRTCGTGCGTGACAACGGCGAACAAAAGCGCCTGAAGGACAATGAATATCCATTGATAACTCGCATTACGCTGGGACCGCATGAGGATGTGGCTCGCCTATTTCTTGTGGACGCACGCAAAACTGATGAGATCAGGTTGGTGACCCATTAAACTAGTCGCTGATCAATTTATAAATTGTCTACTCTGTTTTCAGCAATGAAGTTGCTCAATTTTTAAATCTATCGCTGCCGGAATGCCGTGCTATACTGGATCGCTATGATCAGGAATTGGCGCGTGAGATCGTCAAAGTGAAAGAGAGGTAGGCAAATGTCAAATGGATATTTTACTTAATAGCGGAGTGAAACATTTGTATGGTAAAGCTTACCAAACCAATTTCCGCTTATTTCTTGCGTTTCCTGAAAGAAACACGCCCTCAATATTTTTTCTTCGACCGACACAAATCAATCAAGCTGAATCATTGTAAATAACAGATCTGTGGGGTGGGTCGGTTGGGAATGAGTGCTTTAAGTGTTATAAAATCTAGTTTTACTAGCTAAATTACAGTTTTATATTAAACTACAATTTATGTCGCTCTCTTATTTCAGATACGCAGAGCTACGTCGTCGCATTGTCTCGCGCATGGAATCTCTAAAGGTGCACTTGTAATGCATGAGAACGGAATCTCCGACTGCATCAATTTTTTTTATAGCCATAACGTTAATGCGGCCAAAAATGCGACAGCAGCCAAGCAAATAGTATTCCTTATGATAAATTTTCAAATAGCATTTAGGCACAATTACGCATAATTTAGTAAACCGTTGGCGCCCCAGTGAACAAATCAGCCGCTGTCCAGCCGCAGTTATTTTGATTTACTTTTTTACATTTCTTGTGTTTCCTTTTCCAGATGTAACTAACAATCATTAGCAGGCATTTCCACTTTAGAAAGCGTTTAAGACTTGTAACTAACCAAAAATAATATTAATCTGCACACAAGCTGGCATAGAAACTGAATGAAATCATATTCTATGTGTTAAAAATCAAAAATATGTTTATATACAACTTTAAAGCCATGGCTAACAGCAAGAACAAAAATATTAAGAATCAATTTTATAGCACCAAAGTGCGTTAGTTAGTGAGCGCAACTTTTTTTTAGCAGGCCATTTAATAAAGTTAATTGATTGACCGATTGATTGAATGCGACAGCAACAATAACTATATTTAGTATAAGATGGACTTGTTGATTGAAAATCATTTGAATATCAAATAAAATGTAAAGATTTAACAGACACAGACACAGAAACAGACACCATGTGGAACAGATTAACAAAAGCAATTCTCTAAGCATCAATAATTACCTATGCACAAACACTTGTGCTGTGACCCGTAGCACAAGGGGCTTGGCCAGAGCACTATCAGAGCAGAAGTCAGTGATGCCATTACCGAATGGGGAGTGGGACGTGGAGGCTATAGCTGCTAAACATCCAAA